ATACTCGACTGAACTGCAGCTTACATACAAACCACATGATATTAGTGTAGCACCATTTCTCAGTGAACACCATCTTTGGGAAATGCCAGAGGCACGTGAAATAGCTGTAACTCTTATCACGGCCGTACCTGTTCATAATGGTCATCATCATCAGCATCTCAACATCATACTTACCTCTGCTGATTATGTGGCAAAACCACGTACTCGGGGAGTTCACGACCGTGGGCTCCACCGAGACGTACTGCAGCACGAGCAGCCACCCGAAGCATTATACAACAACAGAGAGCTCGATCTGACCAGGCGAAATGCGTTAATGCAAGTCGCGCACGCCCGCGTGATCGATTATAATTCACTCGTACACAAATACTTCAAGTGCAGAAACTCGACTTCATGGAAACGTGAACAGTTTTGCTATACCTAAAAACCATAGATATCTCTCTGCGCACAGCGAAGATTTAAAGATACGCTTCTCGCCTGCTTGAAGAACAAGTCCCTGCACAGCATAGAAAGATGGCGATGGCAACACTACGACTGACCACATCCATGTGGGACTGAAATACTATATTGCATCTATTATCAACAAGTCACCATTGACTGGGATTAGGTTATCCTGAAGCTCTCGCTTGCAGGTTTGAGATGATGCTCACTGAATAGTCTACCACACCATGACAACACCGATGCTACCGGTGCTACTGCGAGCACAGTCAGCGACCAGCATCAGAAGGGACAAAACATGGGATAAGGCGGGTTATTGGTCCAGGTTAAGTACGCCTAGACCTGTACATGATATGATCGGAAACTGCACTGCAAACAATTAAAACCGCCAAACTCCGGATGATAATACTAGTCAAACTACTTAGTCGATAACCTCTCTATAGAGGATGATAGTTCTTATACGATCACAGGTACGCAGCAAAGCACTTGAAACTGGTGCATGCCCAATACCAGGACGACATTTCTTCATAGCAACTACCACATATCTGTGGCTTAGCGTGCAGAGCTACTGCTACTGCTGCTAGTAGTAGTACTGCCCTCAGCAGTGCTAGTAAGACGACAGCGGCGACCTTCGTTCATCGACATGGCGAACCATGAGCCCCCATCATGAGGCCTACTAAAATAACATCATTCCAAATGCAATCCAACATCAGTTCACATCTTTCTTCGCCAGCCGTCGTGATAGTCCGGACGATGCTTCATCGGTGGGTAGCCGATCGGGCTGCATAACACATCACAGTCTTCATGGTCGGCTAGGAGTGCCGCCACCTGCCAATGGCATAGCGCATACCACTCCTCCCTGAACTCACCTCGCTTGGCAACAAGCCGCTGCCTACCCCAACAACATGCCTATCACCAGTGTCTGATGGCGGACTCGGTGTTCTAAACCCACACAATATAGCCCTTTCATGTCTCCAGCCCTACTAGTACTCTGAACAAGGCCTGAACTCGGGCGCGTTGGCATTAAGCCCGTTCACAAAGTTATTGTCAACATTAACCTTCCCCCCTCTACTCTCGATAGTTGCCACCCGAGATAGCCCCGGATTGGTCTGTACGAAGTAGGTCGCGCGATGTTTCATCTTCTGCCATTTGTTGCGCTTCTTATACGATTGCCAAATTGCATTTCCACTGCGGCCTACTTCTCGAATTCGCGAAATTGATACCTGAATCACTCTCCAACTAGCCTACCAAAAATGCATTGTACTACTTCATGGAA